GCTTTGCTTTTACTCGAGTTCTCTCAATGCACTTCCATATTCTTTGATCATCATTTTCTTTTTCTTTTTCTTTTTCTTTTTTTTTTAAAAAACTTTTTCTGCTAGTGCCCTTGCCTTTGTGCTTTCTTGTGACTTTGGTATTCTTTTCTTGGTACCAAATTAATAAAAAGCACTCTTGTTACGTTTTTTATGGCTTATACAACAACATAACATGAACCATATAAAGAAGGGAACTATCTAATATTTTCTTCAAATAACAATATAAGTCATTTTTTAAAAATTTTACTTGATTCAAAATATAAAACATTGAGTAAGTATTGTATATTTTTTTGTCAATTCTGCCCTTACTTTATTAAGTAATTACTTAGAGTGTTTTGAACAAATCAAATGTGAAAATTTAGAATGTTTTATACTTATTTCACTTAAAGACATGATTGGGAAAATAAACAAAAATTGTAAACATTGCATTTTGTTTGGACAATTTTTAATATAATAGATTTAATCAAAAAATAAAATTTTAGTGATATAGATAAAATGAAAAAAATAAAAAAAATTAATTAATAGAGTTTTGATGAAATGACAAAATAAAAAAATTTAATTGATAGAGTTTGATTTTATTAAAAATAAAAAAATAAAATATATATATATATATATATATAATAAAAGATAATCGTTATCTTTAAAAAAATATTCGAAAAAAATACTTTAAATAATATATCCTGAAAATGGATTGAATAATAAAATAAAATAAAAATACACATGAAAGGTTAAAATGGTTCAGACAAAATCCCTAGCTTCATCGATGAACCCACAGCTCTTTTGGCACTTCGAACGGCTAAGCAGTTGCAGACATGGGGAAGAGGAAAAATATCCTACATTTGCTGATCTCTCACGCAAAGGTCTGGAAAAGGGATACCTTGTATCTGCTTCTATGGATTCAAGACAAAACATTTTCAGAAATAGGAAGTAGCAGAGGTCGGCGGTGGCTCATCAGATGAGATACGACGCCATGTGATGAAGGAGAAGTCAAGTCAAAGTTCATAGATTTGTGTAATCCAGGTATGGTATTCATCTTCTACATAAAGGAGGGAGGTGATCGAAGCTTGGGGGGAGGTGGAGAGATTTTCTAGAGGGGGATGAAGAACAAATAGAACAGAGGAGACGGAAAAAGAGGAAGAACGAAGAACATAGAGAGCCAGTGAAGAACAATCGAAGCACTCATAGAAGAGGAACAAAATCAAGGCAACGATGAAGGTGGAAGAAGTAGCTTTCCAAATCTACCTATGTTGATAGGTTCGAAATATTTGTGCATGATTCCTGTTCTTAATTTTAATTTTGGGGTTGAGAAAGCTTGAGTCATGGTCATGTTGTTTGAATGTTGAAAATAGTTCTATAGTTGTCATTTGAGAATTTTCGGCCATGAGATTGCTGTTTAAGGTTTGGATGATATTTTCTGCTTGAAGACTTGGTAGTGTTGTGATCGATTTTGTGTGCATATATGCTGTAGAATAGATGGATGGAGTTTTGGCTTGCGGATTGTTGGGGCTGTGCTATTCTTGATTGCCTTTTGGTTTGATTCCATGAGGAGCAGCTACACTAATAGTTAATTTTATCCTCTTGGTTCTATCAATAAGTGATGGGTTAATAATTGCATCTTTTAAGCCTCCTAGATGAAATATTGCACTTTGGAAGATCACTTATAGTTCTCTTTCTTTCTTTTGTTTGCTGAAAATTCAATATTGAATATATGCCCCTCCGTGTTTCACCTTAAGGCCTTATGGGAAAAGGGAAGTTTGGAAATCTGTATAGAAATTTGTAAGTGGGCATGTGATATTAAGTGACGTTTTAGGATTGTTCATCATTTGAAGCTGATTGAGATTCCATCTTCCTAATAGCTTACTTAGTTGATTTTAATCTATTTGTGCTTATGTGGTCTTTACTTGAAATTGTTCATAGATGTTCCTCTTCCTGTCTGGTTTAATGTCTAAATTTTCATGATTTTGGGAGCCCATTTACACGGTCAAGCATGTTGATTTTTGCAGATTGGTTATAAAAATGATTTCTTCTCTTAGTTGTTACAGCTTGGTTCATATATTTTTACATGCTCATGCGGAGGTGACTTTAATTTGAAATTTTGTATCCATGACACTCTCTAACTGTTGTTTGACACATAAAATTCTTAGAATTTTTAGATCTCATTTACCTATTCGATTACATTGGTTATTAAGAGTCGATCAATAAACCTCATGTTAATTTTATAGCTTATAATTAGTGAATTTTTCTCTTCTTGTACAGTGGCACTGCTGAGCTAAATTTTTGCATCCATATTTTTCTATATCTGCAATTTGATATGTTAAATTTACAAGATTTTTAGTGTTTATCTATACAGTCAAATGCAGTAATTTTTAGATGATGGGCAATATAACAGGGATATTCTTAAATAATAATATCGCAAGAGAAATTTAAAATCTTCTTAGGCATTTAAAATGATCCTCTACGATATAAATCAATAAGATTTTATAGGTATGAAGATTCAATTTTTATATATATATATATATATATATATTAAACATGGATTCTAATGGCTCATTCTTTAAATTAACAATTTTGTACTTATCTTTTCCCATATATAATTTAAATCAATTAAAAACATTTAATGGTATCATGAGAGATTTGAAAAATCTCTATAGATATTTGGATTAATCACCTCATCTTGTAGGATGATAAGTTCTTACAGATGTCATGATTATTAATTTATATGATAAATAAATAAATATTGTAAACAATAATATAATAAATTTTTTTAAAAAAATTAATTAAATTAATGCATTTAAATTATAACAATACTTAGATAGTTAGATCCTTTTGTTACATGAAATTTTTAAAATTTTTGCAAACATTTAGGATAATTTTATTATCATGTGAGTTAATAAGGCTCTACAAGTATAATGATTAAGATTCTTTATTATATCTTTTTGTCATGAGTCCACGGGTGACAATAAGTTTCTGTTGGCACATGAATTCATTTTAAAAAAAATTAAATTATTTTTTTATGTTGATAAAGTGAATTTTTAAAATAAGAGAAAATATATTAGTTCACATATATTTTTCAAAACAAAAAAAAACAGTTTTTAAAATTAGTATAAAATAATAAAACAATGAAAACATTTTTCAAAATTTAAAATATGAGTAAAAAAATGAAGTTAAATTATCTTTGCAAATTAAAACACACCAACTTACATTTTAAAAAATTGTTGTTTGCAATTGATTTTCATTTAACTTTCTCTTTTCATAAAAAATCATAAATTAAAAACCATTGACACTAATTTCTATTTTGAACTACATGAATTTTGATCTCATTGCAAGGCACATAAGCTCTAGAGTCAAATTCTAGGTTAAATTCACCATTGTAAATAAATAACTATTTCTTCATTTTTTTAAATGTTTTACACGTGAATGAGAAAAGGTAATTAAAATAACTTTAAAGCTATATTAATTTAGCACAATTAACTTTAGGTAACTATTTTTACGAATGAGTGTTGTGAGGTACCTAACACCTTCCTCACACTCAATTGACTTCTAAACCCATTTTGTTTTCATAGGTTATTTTTTTCATTTTCTTTTAGAGAGGCTGTTCAAGTTTTTTTTTTTTAATTTTAGTGGTGACTCATTTAAGTCTGTTTTTATTCCGAAAGCCAAATCTTTGCCCTTATGCACCATCCCCATCACATTTTCGGATGTGACAAAAGTTTTTAAAAAATCAATATTTTAACCAGTTTTTTATAATACAAATTAGCTAACAATAAATAATTCTATGGGCCGGGAAGAGTATGTAACTTCCATCATCCCAGGAAAAGTGAACCAAATTAAATTTGATAGTTTAAAAAGCTTCATGCGTAGGATGCGCAGCTAGGAGAAGGAAATTAAATTAGATTATTATAACCCAATCAAAGTCAATGTAACATGTTCTTTGCATGAGAGAGAAAACCCAGCTGATATTCTGTTATCAATGATATTTCATTTTTTTTAATTGTTAATAAGTATTCTTTTATTAAAAATAATTTTATTTTGATGTATGGTTGAACACTAAATTTAAATACTTTTCTAGAAAAAAATTTAAACTTTAATTCATTATATTGTGAGGGATTAATTTTTTTTACTAGATCTAACTTTAATTAGTACGAGATGTGTTATATTTCTATTTTAGGGCAATCCATGTCAGTTACTAAAGCACGAGACCATACTGGTTTAAATCTTGGGTTCTGAAAGTCCACTACAGTGATGAACCTAGAAAATTTTGTTAGTAGGAGCAAAAGAAAAAAAAGAAAATATATATATATATATATATATATAATATTGTTGCAAAAAAAATATCAAATAAATATTAATATTTTTGAAATGGGCTTAGTAGAAGAGTTTCTCATAACGTAATGAATTAAGGTTCAAATCTACGCTAAAAGAGATGCTCATATTTAGTGTCTGATTGTAGTTCGAATAAGATTGCCTTTAATTAGAAGATACTTGTAAGCAAAAAAAATAAAGCAAATATAAAATTATAATAATAATAATGTCCAACCATACTTCAAACAAAATTACCTCTAATAAGAGACTACCTATAAGCAATAAAAAATAATTTTTTCTTAATGTAAGCAAATTTTATATTGAAAATGATAAAATAAGTAGTAGCAATTAATATCATATAATAATAGCCTTTTTTTAATGCAAATAATCATATTCTATTAGAATAAACATTTTCAATAAACAATTTAAAAATATTTTATATTTTATTAAAAAGTGTTACCTTTAAGTATGAATCAGTAAAAATTTAAAATTAAAGAATCAAACCTTATTACCGTTGACAAAATAAAAATTAACATTGTATTCTGGAAGTTGAAAGAAAAACCCAACGTCAAGGCATGAATCCTCCAGGCCTGTGATATTAACTAGCCCATTATCTAGGATAGAGAAAGGGTTTGAGCAAGACGCAGCCCCTTGATCTTTCACGTGGCGACGATTAGCTGGAGATGTGTTTTCCTTGCCTTTAGCCTTAACTTTCGCAAGTCCTTTCCTTTTTGCCCCAACTGAAACCCATTCAGATTTGTTTTTCGAGATTTCCTTCCAAATATCCTCTTATTTTCTTTCATATTTCCTTTATTAGTCATACCTTCACCAGATTTTCTATTAATGCTTTCCCCACGTGTATTACCCTTTTGCTCAACTGCCACCCGATTTCCTTCCTTAATCCTCGCCTCAGATCCATTGTATCCCTCCATATTCGTTTGTAATCTCCGATTGCGAAGATCTCGCTCCACTAACATTTCTGGGCCGTGAGGACTTGCCGCCGGTGACTCTTCCTGTTTTCCGACTGCCGTCAATCTTTCTGCATGAGCTTCCAACGTACCACTGTCCTTCTCCTCCTTGTTTCTAGGATCGTCATATTCCTCCCGTTGTGTTTGTACAGTTTGCAAGTAAACTCTAGGCACACTTCCTTATGATGTCAATATTTCCCACAATGAAAGCATACCGGGTACAATCCCTTATACTCGATCCGATATTCCTCACCAAGTAAGGCAAATGTCAATAACAGCGGCTGTCCTAGGTCAAGCTCCACACATATCTGGGCGAAACCTCCCTTGTGTCTGAAATTGAGGTAGATAAATCTAGCTCAGTGTTTTACCCACCATGTTTCCTACTCTTCTAAGAGATTCCACATTATATAATTCCACAGGTATTTTTGATATACGAATCAACACCACGATCCTTCTCTGCCGCTTTGCCTTCAAAGGATTAAAATTTGGCCGCCCCCTCTGAACCAACAACTAGTGATCATCGATCATCCACGGCCCCTCATGGTATGCATAGTCAAGATCATCCTGAGTAGAGAAAGATACTATGAAGTATCCATTACTCAAAGGAGTTATTCTCATCGGTTGTTGTATTTTCCACATTTTCTCTAACCGAGGTCTTAGAAAACATAAAGGGATGTTCCTGCCTAATAGTCTGACCTGCACCATGCTTCATATTCCTCTGCAGTAAACATCAGTTCCGGGATCTTAATCTTACCTGGTTCCTGCTCTTCGGCTTCATCCTTCGAACTGTCATCAGTTTCAACCTGTTTTTCAGCTTCCTTCTCTTTCAGCTTGGCAAAGTATCCTTTCAAGCCATAAAAGATTTCAGTATTTGGTTCATTCTGAGACAGAAATCCAGCCGAGTTCAGACTAAGAAGGGAATCCTGGTAAGATACTCCTTTCTTCCACGCCGGATATCTTGGGGCCTCTTCCTCCCTCTTTTCCATCTCACCATCTCTGTTGCTCGTAAAAATCATACTCTTCATACTTGAAAAATTACCTCTGCCGTCATCTTTCCTAGGTCCTCCACCACTCGCTGCACCACCATTAACTCCTGCATTCTCTCCACGCCCCTCTCCGTCTCTCATTCTCTCCTAATTTGCTTGACTCTTGTTATCCTTCAATATTTAATTATGCATGTCAGCAAATTTTAACAATATAACTTCCTTTTAGAACCAACATGATAAGCAAAGTAAACTTAAAGAATTAAATTGATAAAAAATTAAACTTGATTATATTTGAGTATGAAACTTGCCCGAACCTCCCCATCTTAGATCTGCTCATCATCGCCTCATATATCTACTTTACCATGCTTGTTGTATCCACTATCTTGGAAGGATGGAATCATGGGAACGGCTAATGAAATCTAGATTATTCTGCCTTCTTCTTCTTCTTCTTTTTTTTATGTACATAATCTTTTTTATATGATTATTTACGCCATTTTTGTTTTCCTTTTCTTACATTAATTTAGTGATTCTTTCTATATTTGTGGGGATATTTTGCAAAATTATTTGTTTCTACTGGGTTATGCTGTATGTTTTCAATTTTTTTTTAAAACATACATGATTGTTTAATTTTTGGGGCCATTGTATTTTGCTTTTGTTTTCTTTGTTTAATTTTGAGTTTGGTTGTTTCTTTTAATCTTCTCTTACTTCATTCATTACTATTTTTTTATTTTTTATTAGTTTTCCTTTTTCTATTGAAGTCCTTCGGTTCTGGTTTTGTTATATGTAGGAGTAGGAAAATCATCGTTCACTCAACTGTTGGTTCTATAATTCCGTGTGATAATCCTAAGTCATGATTGTAACTACATTTAATCGCCATCGATCTTTCAACCTGATTCCTTCAAGGGCAATAGAGGAAATATGCTGTTCAAAAAAGCTGTACACCTATAGTACCAAGCGATGCACTTTTTTGGTTTTGAACAACCCAAGTGATGCATTTTACAATATAAGTATATAGATATAACATGCTTTATAATTATTTCAGGTACATTAATAATACTTTTAAGAACAGGAAAATGCAAGGGGACGACTGGGGAAGAAGCTTTGTGGTAGGCACCATCATCAATTTGAGGTTCAACGAGCTTTGCAAGCAAAAGAAAAGGATAATAAGAGATGTATCTCATGAATGGAAAGGTTGAGGAGGAGTGTAAAATAGAGGATGTATAACAACACAATTGTGACAACTAGAATTACACTTGTCATAAAAGTAGTAATGGTCAGCCACGTAAGTTTGCTCACCACTAGGCACACAGCCGCCAAGAATGCCAATGATAGTGCTGCAAGAGAGATTCCCAAAAGTGATATTGCGTATGAGGGCATACTATAATAGACAAAGATCTCCCAGCCGAGCCCACATGAGAACAATTGTTATGCTGATGGCACCATACATAGAGCTTGTGAGACAAAATGCACAAATGGAATATATGGCATTTAAGATTGACGGCAGTCCCATCATCCACATCACCTAGTAGCCATAAGAGGGATGGGGTTGAATTGGGAAAAAGCTTCAGGGTTGGCATCATTATCATCAATTTGAGGTTCAGCGAGCTTTGTAAGCAAAAGAAAAGGATAGTATGAGATGTATCTCATGAATGGCAAGGTTGAGGAGGAGGGTAAACAGAGGAAAGTGTATAATAACACAATCGTGACAACTAGAATTACACTACTTGTCATAAAGGTAATGGTCAACCACATAAGTTTGCTCACCACTAGGTACACACCTGCCAAGAATGCCAATGATAGTGCTACAAGAGAGATTCCCAGAAGTGGTATTGCGCAATTAAGGGCATAATATACTAGACGGAGATCTCCCAGTCGAGCCCACATGAGAATAACTGTTGTGCTGATGGCACCATACATAGAGATTGTGGGAAGTGGGGTCTCTCCACTTCCTTTTTCTCCATTTCCCTCCACTTCCCCCATCCTCACCATTCATTAATTTTATCATTTAAAAAAATTATTTAATAAAAAAATTTGAATGGTGAGGATGGGGGAAGTGGAGGGAAAGGGAGGGAAAAAAGTGGAGAGACCCCTGGTCCGAGATTGTGAGAGAAAGAATGTACAAATGGAACATATGGCGCTTAAGATTGACAGCAGTCCCATCATCCACATCACCTGGCATGGTAAATCCAGCAGCAAATGATGCTGTTATCATAAGGGTTGAAACCACTATTAAAGTGTCAATTCTGTCTTCATATTGTTCGGTTCTGAATTCCCTTTTCATCACTATAGTTTGTGCGCTTGTAGGAGTGAGTCCCATCATTGATTTTTGAGGTCTACCGGCAGATTGCAACGCAATCCATGTAAGTCGCTGCAAATATGCATTTGGATTTGTTAGAAACAAAACTAGCATTGAATCTTCATTAAAATATTAAATTTTGTATTAATATACTTGCCTGTGCAAATGATGTATTTTGTCCAAGCCATTGGGCTGCAATGTCTAGAGCTGTTTGGTTCTGTTGGTTTAGCAAAGCAAGATCGATTCTTTTATCCCACGTAAAGGCATGCACAATTTTAGGATTCCAGTAAAGGGTGGCCACGTGCAGAGGGGTATCCCCATTATTATCCTTCTGATTCACCAGCTTCTCGAGCTTGGGATGTTGGAGGATGTACCTTACCACTTCAAATTTTCCATTCCGAACAGCAATGTGAAGAAAAGTTTGGGCATTATTGTCCACCATCTCTGTGGGATCTGGACACCATTTTAGTAACTCTTGAACTACTTTAACATGACCTCCCTTACAAGCCAAATGAATTGGGAAGAAGCCATCATTATCCATTTCCATGGTGCAAGAAACACATTTTTCGATCAAATAAGAAACACCCTCAAGGTAACCCATTAACGCTGCATCATGAAGAGGATACCTTCCTTCTTCATTCCTCAGATGGATCCAATCTGGTTTCTTGCTAAGTATGGTTTCAAGCATAACTGCATAAGTAATTAAACAAGACACATTAATGGGGACATTTTATCAACCTATATAATGGTAGCAAGATTTCAATACATAGAATGAAGAAGAAATGAATCATCAAGTCAATGACAAAAGTTGCATATATAATAGTTACCTATATCCTTGTTGATGATTGCTGGAAGAAGAGGTGATTTTCCTTGAGGTCGCAACTCAAAGTGCGTACACATGTCAATCAAACTAGTAACAACTTGGCTGCAGCCAGCTTCAATGGCAAGGTATAACAATGACTTTCCTTCCCTGTTAACCGCAAATGGTACCACAGAATTAACAAACGTCTTGAAATCAGCCTCAAACTCTGAAGATTCTCCTACGATAAAAGGATCTTGGAAAGCTTGGAAAATCATTTCCCCATTATGGCTATTGATTGTGAAGGCTTTATGAAGGAAAGTGTTTCCTTGATCATTTTGTAACACAGTGAGCGATACCAAGAGCATCATCACCAAATTATATTGATCATCATGGCCACTTGTTTGCTGGCGTGCTAAAGGCAAAAAAGCCTTCAAAAGAGATTGAAAGGTAGAGGCATGCCCTGCTCTGGCAGCAACATGCAATGGCGTATCGAAGTTATCATTAGTTTCTGTGAAAAGGGAAGGAGCATGTTGAGCTACTTTCTCTACCATTGTATTATTTCCATAGGAAGCTGCTAAATGTAGAACAGTGTTGCCTCGTGGGGTTCGCTGCATATAAATGGCGTTCTGAGGGAGGCCTCTCTCCACCCACTCAGGTACGATGAAGTCCCCGTTACAACTTACAACGATGGCATTATTCATGGAACGATATGCAGCTGTTAGTAAATTCAAGTCCTTGGTTGGTCCATGTTCTTGCTTCGCCAATGGCAAGGATATAATATAATTGAAATTGTCATTTCTCTTATCTCGATTAACCACTTCGAATACAATAGTTCTTGTCGCTACATCTCCCTGGATTTTCATCTCCATGTGCCTTTCAATTTCAACACTTGTTATAGACGTTCCATCACTTGGCATTGAGAAGATTTTCACTGGCCGTTCTGCTTATAAACCAAATCATAGTATTCTATATGTTATAAAGAGATAATCAAACTTAGTTGTTCAAGTTTATCTCGATTTAATTTCTCAAGTTATAACTTTTATCGATTTAGTCTCTTATATTTTCTTAAATTATCACATAAGTTATTTAAGTTTTAAAATGCAAACTAACTTCCAATATTTTCTTATATATTGATGATTTGGCATGCAGATAAAATGAGAATGAGTTAACACTTAAGTTAGTTTAATTTTTATTAATATAATCCTTTACATTGTATTTTGTTCTTATCTCTTTTTATTAACTTACATGACTGTCATTAATATTCTATTATGAGAGAATATAGTGAAGGACCCTTGAAAGATAATTTAATATCTCTAACAAGTAAGCATTAACAAATTAAGAAGTGAAGTTATTGTTTTAACAAGTACACAATCTATTCAAGTCATTGTTGGATATTAAATTCTTTCAGAGGTTTTTCATTGATGTCCCCTTCTGTTATCCTTCAATATTTAATTATGCATGTCAGCAAATTTTAATAGTATAACTTCTTTTTAGAACCACCATGAGAAGCAAAGTAAATTTGAAGAATTAAACGGATAAAAAATTAAACTCGATTATATTTTTTTGTCTCATGGCAAAAAAAGGAATGCATACCTTTATAATTTTCATTCCCATCCACCACTGAAGATCCTCTCATCTCGGACACCATCTGCAGCTGCAGCTTTGATTCTTTTCTCCTTTCCCTCTCGGGTAGGATCCAAGAACTTGAAACATCTAATCCTCAAAACAAAAGGTGGATTGTAAATTAATAAACTTATTTTTATTCAAAGTATATCATAAAGTTCATTTTTTTTATCTGAAAATATAGTTTGTTTTAAGATTATATTGGACTAAAAACCTTTTCACTAATTTTGTTTAGAGTAATTGATTGAAATTGTGGCTACCAAATCCATAAAAACATTCAATTCTTTTTTTAAAATGGAAGTATATTGTTATCATGTTGCCGCATGTTCAACTTTAGAATATTGCATTTAAATTTATGAAGCATATACATTATTGTAATGCAAACATAAATGAAACTACAGGAGCATTTTTGTTCAATCAGTGGCATTCTTGTAAGGTGACCTACGAGGGCGTTTCCCAACATATAAGCACTCTGATAAAGTAAAAGTCCAAAAATATAGATGTAATAGGTTTAATCTACATTTTATTTTAATATTATTTATATTTATTCTATTCTAAGAAAATATAGTTTATTTCTGTGCAGCTATTTTTTGTTTATAAAATATTCATATTAATTAAATGCATATATTTTTTTTAATAAAAAGATCAATTCATTAAAGTGAAAATTAATTAGATGCATATCAAACAAACACGTTATTGCTGAAACTGCTGTTCACGAAATAAGGAGTAAACATCTTTATCTGTTCATGAAAGATGGCTTAGTAATCTGATAATTCCATTCATTATTCATTATGAAAGAAGAAAAAACGAACTTAATCGTCTTAATTATAAATACTTGGATCATTATTCAACCAGAGATGGAAAAAAAGATTAAAGTTAAAAATAAAGGTAAAAGAGAAAATTGACTCCTAAACTATACATTCAGAAGTGTTTAGAATCATAAACTCAATATTTGTATAATATGTCCCTTCAACTTTTAAAAACGATATAATCTAAACCCACATTTAGCAAAAGTTAACTTTGATTGTTAATTAATCAAAAAATGATCTCAAAATTAAAGAAAATGACCAAAAAAAATTATAGTAAAGGATCAAAAAAATCGTAAAAAAGGACTAAAATTTTTTTTATTGATTTGTTTTGTAATTTTGATATCCTTTTCTATCATTTTTCTAATCAACTAACAGTTAAAATCAACTTTTTTAAATGATAAGGGGCAAAATTTCATCTTTTTTTAAAGTTGAAGAGATGCATTGTACAAATAATGAGACTAGGAACATTCCTAAACTTATAATTTAGGATTCAATGTGCTCTTTTACCCCTCAAAACAGTTACGATGGTATGTTTGCTGGGATTCCATTTGGTGAGGCTGTGAAGTTGAAGATGGTCTTTGCTCGGACTCTGCATTTCCAGACATGGCAGCAATTTTCACTTGCTGGGATTAACTTCACAAAAGCGTCGATCACACATAAACAAACAATTAATACATATAAGTATGCAATAATACAGTAATATAACAAAATTTAAGAGGATGAAGAAGCATGATCAGTGGAGGATATATTGCATTTACTGTGTTCTTTTCATGATTCCATCTTAGCCTTGTCTCACGCAAAATCAATCCATTTCAGTTTTTCCATTCCTTTCTTAAATTATCCCATTTGTTTTTGAATTGTTGCTTGTCATATTTTCTTCCGTTCTTATTATTGAAGGCAGTTTCTATATTTATCCAGCCTTCTTTGCTAAAGCTACCACCATTTCTCTGCTTCTTGTGCAATCTCAACAAAAATCTTAATGCTCCTCATATCTCATGACGCTTTCGATTTATCCTTAGTCATTGTACTATATAAAAAATCAATTTCAATATATCACGCATCAAAAAAAAAAAATTATCTATCAACCAAATAGTAAGCATACTCAGAATTAATAGAAAAATTATCAGAGAAAAATTTGGGGAACACGAGAACGTGAAAGCTGAGTACTATCAACAGTTCATTTCACAAACTTATCTATCTTACAACAATAACATTTCTCCTCCCAAGACCCTCTTCCTTTTTTTTTTAAATTTTGTTTCATCATCTCCTTAACAGTAAGGATATTATGCAGTAAGCTTCTCTTCTTAATAGCACAACAATTTAGAAAAGCCAACTATTCACAGCAAGCAAGCAGAGGTCGGAGGTCGAAGATAAAAAAAAAAAAAATCAACACAAACACAGAGAAACCACATGCAGAGGTCGGAGGAGACAAAAAGGAGGATAGAAAAAAAAAATCACACCTTGCAGGGGACACAAGAGAACACCCAAAACAGGGGAGGACAGACCAGATCTAAGAGCTAGAGGTCGAACTTCGACGGAGATGCACCGGTGGAAGGCGATCGAAGCTGGAGGAAGTGGATTGAGATGAAGAACAGCGATGAGGAAGGAGTTCGAACTTGGACAGAAGCACCGAAGGAAGGCCGTTCACGTCAGACTTCGATGAAGAAGATGCTCCAAAGGCCGCCGCCCATGAAATGCCGTTCGCGATCTGTAGCTCTGGGGTAGAAGACCGTTAAGAGTTCAGAAGTTCAGAAGCCTAGAGTGGTCAAGAAGACGGTGGTTTACTTCCCGTGAGGGGTAGGAGGTGTCCGGTATGTGTGCTTAGACAAACAAGTAAAATAAAAATTATAAAAAATAATAAATCTATTTTTTATTATTATTATGGATAATACATATTCAATCTTATAACCTAATTTAATATTAATTTTTTAATTTTTCTAAATTAATTACTCAAAATTATAAAAATTTATAAAAATAATAAATTTATTTTATTATCATTCTGAATAATACATACTTAATTTTATTACTTAATTTAATATTAAAATTTTTTAAATTTTTATACATTAATTATTTAGAATTGATTTGAAAAGTTCACTTTTTAAATTTTTAATTTGCAAGTTTTTTTAATTTTTTTAAGTGTCAATTTAGATATTATCTTTATTTTTATATTATTTATTAAAATAAAAAATTGTAAAAATTTTAATGTTAAATTTAAACTATTTTACTTATATCTAGATAGTAAATTTATCAAAATTATAAAAAATTTATTATTAAATTGGATGGTTATTACTTTTTGTATCAAAAATAAAAATTGAACTATCCAAATTAAGGGCATATTTTGATTTTAGTTGAGTATAATTAATTATAAAAAAATTAATTAATATGATTAATTTTAAATATAATTAACTATGTTATAAGGTATATAATTGATTAATAAGATTGATTTTAATCAGAATTGAAAAAGATAATTGAAAATCAAGTAAAACCATGATTTTGTGAAATTATATTCAAACATCCCTATTACATGTTAAAATCAATTATGAATTTAAAGCTAAGTTTTTTTTAAAAAAAAAATTCAAACACTCATTATACATACTAAGATCAATTATGAATTTAAAGTCATGATTTTTTTTTAATCTCCATATATGTTAAAATTAATTATGAATTTAAAACTATAATTATCTCATAAGCTATTATTACCTACTTTTTAATTCATATTTTCACTTATACTTTTCTATAAATTTATCCAAAAATCATATAAATTATTTTATAAATCATATTTTTAGGTTTAAGATTGACTTTGGCATGTACGAAGGTGTTTGGATATTTTTAAAAAAATAATATTTTTAAATTTATAATTGATTTTGGCATATATAATAAATATTTGAATATTTTTACAGAAACATGGTTTTAGGTACATAATTAATTTTAACATGTAATAGAAATATTCGGATATATTTTCACAAAATTATGGTTTTGACCTTTAAAATTGATTGAAGATATTATCAAAACAGGCACAAAATTTGTAAATCCAATGACTGATAAGATAGATTTATTAAAATTTTTATAATTTTTGTTTTAATAAATATTAAATAAAAAATAAAATAAAACTTATGAATCTGAGATATAACGAGCACCCAAACCAATTTTGAGATAGGAGAGGGGCGGGAAAGAGTTTTAAATTTTTTATCTACCATCTAAAATTACAATAAATGAATACCAATCATAATTAATTTTTAAAATAAAATAAAATTCTGTTCAATGAAGTTTTGAAAAATTAAGGTGTTTAAGTAAAATTTTCAAAACCATTGTTCTATGGCTAGAATTAGTTTTTCAAGGTATATCCAGACAGGCTCTAGGTGAAACAGTTTTGTATCATTTATACTGTGGATCGTCTATTTTCCTGTATCACTTTTTTTATATAATGATGTTTTGTCAGCATGAGGAATCTCAACCTCATGTATGAATTTTTATTAATAATATTTTTGGTCATCTGTCCTCTCTCTATGTATATTATTCTTTATATACGGTAAAGGAGAGAAGTCTTTGTCACAGGAGAATCAGAACGGTTAAAAAGTGGATCAGTATTCATGTGCACTCATTAGGTGCCTAGTTTTAAGTCTCTGACATATCAGGATATTGAGGAAAACTGATTTGACAAAACATGAATTTTGAATCTGCCTTTAAATGGCTGAAAAGTAAAACAAAAATGACAATAAAGCTCTAAAAAAAAATTTAAAATCAATTAAATTTTAAGTAATTGTAAAAGATCAATAAAGTCCTATGTTATTTTTTACAAATCAGATTTACGAAAGAAATGATAAAAATATTTCTATAATTAAATATAACATGTACAATTATCAGCTCCTGTATTTCTCCCTCAATTTATCTCTTTCCCATCATTAACGAGAGCTGCATGTAAGTGGTGGAGTCACACGTTAAAAAATACCCATTCTTAAAATAGAGTTGTGTTTGGAAGAGGTGAAGTTGTCTTAATTATTGACTCAAGGAAGCTCAAGGAGTTGTACTGGTGCGTTTAGACAGGTGTGTCTTTTTTTTTTTCAAATTCCTACATCTAAACAAAAAAGTTTACTCCATTAAGGTCTGATTTCTTGCAAAATGGCTCTCGTAAGGGAAAAGATGGAATGGTTTTTTGCAACTAAACATAAAAGATTTTTTTTTTTATTTCATGTTTTTAAAGATTTGGCATGAAGATTCGACATTTTACAACTATAAGTGTAAGAATTTATCATCAAATGTCCATATTTTAAGATAGAACACTGTCACTGTTTCATTGATGCAAAAATTACTTATATCAAAGGTAACTTGTTTTTAAGTGATATATTATTATATTTTATTTTGTTTATTGTAGGTTAATATTATTGGGTACGATAGAAAGTAGTTGTTTAAAGAAAATTTTTTGTTATTTTTATTTTGGTGGAGATATTGTAAAAGATATGCATGGGACAATGCATTATGATGGGGGGAGTTGTAATGGAAGAATGATTAGAGAAGGAATGTCTCTTGAAGAACTTGTTAGATTGATTTCATCATGCTTGAATTGTGATTTAAATGGAATAGAGTTTAAGTACATAGTAAAATTTGATTGTAATGTTCTTTTAGACCTTAAAGATGATAAAGTGATAAATCAATTAATGAAATTGAATGATAATTTTGCTCATGTGTATATCATTGGAAAGATACAACAAAGCACAGAGGCAACAAGAGATTCAATTGATAGGTAAGTTTTTTTAATACTTGCATGATTAATATTATGCTAATATTAATATGAATAGTAGTAATAAACATGATTCGAATGGAAATGCAGAGCAAAATGTTCAGTTGGGAATTTGCATGCCACACAAGATCTTGAAGTTCTACCATGTGCAATACAAAGTATCTTAACACTAATGCCTGAGCTAAATGCAATAAAGTGGAAGGATCTACTAGTAAGACCTAGGCAGATTTTTGCGAGTGCTGATGATTGTAGATAAGCAAGCTACAAGTATAGTATTGCACACAGGTTTGAATATAAATTTGTGAAGAACAACACAAATAAAATAATTACAGTTTGCAAGGCAAAAGGATGTCAGTGGAAGATAACAGCATATTTATTAAGGAAGTCAATACCCTTACTTTGTGTAACAACTTTCAAGAATGAGCACTTACATTCTGCCTAAAAAGACCTTGAAGTTTCTTACAGTACAAGGTGCACACTGGCTTCATCTATAATTGATGACGTAGTAAGGTCTAATATGGAAAAAAGACCCAATGAAATCAAAGCTGACATATATAGAGACTATGGCATAAGTCTAACTTATCGTCAAGCTTTAAGAGCGAAAGATAGGGCATTGGTGAAAATAAATGGGCTTTCCTGACCAATCATATATGCTTGTTCCTTGGTTGTGTAATAGACTAATGGAGACTGATGCTGACACTGTAGCAAAATGGGTGGCTTTTAAGAACAATAGATTTAAATATTTATTTATTGCATATGGTTGTTCCATCAAAGGATTCTTGCTTGGGACTAGGCCTATTTTATATGTGGATGGATGTTTTCTCAGTGGTCCTTATCGGGGCACCTTACTGGCAGCTTCAACATATGATGCCGATAATGAGTTGTTTCCATTAGCTTTTGTAATAGTTGGTAGTGAAACTCATGATGATTGGACTTGGTTTTTGTAAAATATTAAAGATATCATTGGTTCGCTACAGGTAACTATTGTTTCTGATAGAAATGATGATATTATTAGTACTGTTAGAGCCATATTTGGTGGCGATAGACATGCATTTTGCTATCGACATGTCAAGGAGAATTTTAGCTCTGAGTTTAACAAAGTTTGTAGGGGAATGGGAAGGAACAGTAAGGAAGAGGCACTAAAGTTGCTTGATCACATTGCCTATACAAGGCGTGAGCATGAATTTTGTATAGCCATGGGAAATTTGAGGATGTTCTCTCTACAATTAGCAAGATGGGTTGAAAATCAAGGCGATGTTGATCGGTGGGCACTATTATTGTTCCCATTTTGAAGATGGGATAAGATAACAACCAATTTGGTCGAATGATTCAATGCATAGATTCTTGAGGAGAGAAGGCATAATATATGTGTTCTTATAAATGAGCATAGGGACAAGTTGAGCAAGAAATTTTTGCAAGTAAGGCAGTCATGAGTAAGTGGAAAAGCATAGTTGGTCTTAATGTTGAAGCAAAGTTGAAGGAAAATATTTTCAGGGTAGAAGTTATGATAGTTTAGCTGCATGGCTCACATATTGCATTGGTTCGGACACCATGTGGAGATGTATTTGTGAATCTGATACTAAGGGAATACACATGCAAACTTTGGCAAATGTCTGGCATTCCTTAGTATACATGCTTGTGTAGCCATTGAAGAAGTGCATGGTAATGTGTATAACTATGTCGAGGAATGTTATCTTCGTAACTCACAAGAGAAAATACACAGTGGCACTATGCATCTTGTTGAGACCCATGACATGCCAAAGCCGAATGCGTTGACAGTGTCTGAGCTCATGAACCAAACCTTTTTACTGAACATCTCTACCGATTGGCAGACCTCGTCGTGTGAGGATCGAGTCTTAACATCAATAAAAGAAGGTTTATCATTGTTCTCGCTGCCATGAAGCAGGTTATATGCGGAAGAGCTGTAGAAATCCAAATCCAAGTTGATGTTACTGTAAATGGGTAACCACATGCACTTGGATTTGGGTGACATACACATATAGGTTATCTTAGGGGTTTTTTTTTAGCATATAGCAGCCCCTTTTTTGTAAATCCAAGTTGATGTTTCTA